TTCTCTTGCTCCATTCAGAAAACAGATGGTTGGTCTAGGTATAGATTTCATATAAGCATAATTAAGTGTTCTAGACTCTCATTCTACTCAATATTAGCCATAGTTTGTTATGATCCAGGCATCAACTGTTTCTGCATACTCAATAAAACAGAAATAAACATTCTTCTGGTATTCTCTGTTCTCAGTTAGGAGCCATTTGACCTCATCAATAATATCCGTGGTGTCACAATCTCTTCTGAACCTAGCTTGAACTTTTGGCACTTCTCTGTCAAAGAATTCATCTAGCCATTTTTGAATGATCTTCAGTGGCATTTTGCTTGCATGTGGTAGTAATGATATTGTTTAATAATTTTCAAATTCTGTTGCATCACCTTTCTTGAGAATGGGAACAAATATGGATCTGTTCTAATCAGTTGGACTTCCAAATCTTCCAAATTTTCTGGCCCAGACTAGTGAGCATGTCCAGGGCTGCATCTATTAATTGAAAAATGTCAGATGGTAACCCATCAATTCCTGGGGCCTTATCCTTTGGCAATACCATCAACACAATTTTAATTCCTTCCCTCATCTTTATAATATAGCACTCTGAATGATTTTAGTATCAACCAATGTTTTTTGGTACAGTGACTCTTTAATTCCTCCATTTTCTTCTGATGCTTCCTTGATCATCCAAGATTTTACCTATAGCATATCTTAATATTGCAACTCACGGCTTCAATTTAGTTTTCAGTTTGAAAACTGTGGTGTAACTTCTCTTTTTATTCTCCCACAAGAACTCTATGCACATTCCATTTTAATACTTTGCTTTGTCTTCTTGAACCACCCTTCAAAATTTGTTCATTGTTCCTGATCCAGGGCATGGTCTTCACAGTAACTTGTTAATTCATAGTACTGATCATAATATGGACTGCCAAGAGAACAGAAAAGTCTGTCCTGGAGATGATGAAATGAGGAGGCAAGGATTTTGAAACTATATCACATAATTTGTCCTTCTTGTCAGGAGGAGCCAGTCCTTAGAGAAGGATATTATGGGCAGAAAGTCAGCACAAGAGAGGAAAACCCTGGATGACATGGATTGACACAGTGAGTATGGCAATGGTGTGTCAGAAATGGTGAAGTTGGCTCAGAATAGGAAAAGGTTTGGAGCTGTTGTTTATGTTGTTATGTGCTGTCAAGTCACTTGCAATTCATAGCGACCCTATATACAAGAGCCCTAAACCCTGCTCTATCTTGTGCCAGTCACACTGCCTCTGACACACTCATCCCGATTACCCTAGTCACTAAATCAATCCTCTTCATAGAGGGTCTTCCCCTCCTGCGCTGCCCCTCCACCCTCCCAAGCATGATGTTCCTCTCCAAGAACTGGTCCCCCCTTACAACACGTCCAAAGTATGTCAGACAAAGCCTCAGAATCCTTGCCTCCAAGGAGGAGCCTGGTTTAACCCTCTCCAGGATGAATCTGGTTCTTAGCAGTCCATGGTATCCTCAATACTCTTCTCCAGCACCACAGCTCAAAGGCATCAATTCTCCTTCTATCCTCCCTAGTCATTGTCCAACTCTCTGACGCATAACAAGTGATTGCAAAGACCATGGCCTGTATCAGATGCAACTTAGTCTTCAGCTGTTGTTTATAGAATTGCTATAAGTCATAGTCAATATGACAGCACATAACAATATACACAAAATTCTCTTATGTTAAATATAAAAAACCAAAAGCTAAACCATAAATAATTGTGCTATCTCTACACAGCTAAAATATTTAGAATCTTGGGACTCATGCCATTCCTTGATGTTTTCTACTTTGTAATTATATACTAAAGAAGAGGGAGGATGCAATTGTTTTGTTCTTGGGGATGGGAATTTTTGTTGTTAAAAAGATGTTGTTATTTAGTGTGCAGCTGAGCATGACCCTGGTCCTGCGTTACCATCCTCATCATCTCTTAACATATTTGACCCCTTGGGTGCAGTCACTGTGTTAGTCCATCTTTTTCTTTTTCACTGACCTCCACCTTTCAAAGCATGATGTCCCTCTCCAAGGTGTCACCCCTCCTAACAATACACCCAGGAGGAAGAAAAGACCAAAACAGATATTAGAAGAGACACTGAAAATTGCACTAGACCATTGAGAAGCCAAAGTATCTTCTTGTTGTTGTTATATGTGCTGTTAAGTCAACTATGACTTGTAGCAACATATTAGCTTAACCCTGTTCTATCCTAACAATCTCACCATCTCTGACAAACCTACCCTCATTACCCTGGTTATTGTGTCAATCCATCTCATCCAGACTTATCCTTTCCTACAATGTCCCTCCACCCTTGCAAACATGATATCCTTCTCCAAAGACTGGTCCCTCCTGGCTACATACCCAAAGTATTTTGAGACAAAGTCTCAAAATCCTTGCCTCCAAGGAGCAGCTTGGTTTCACCCTCTCGAGAACAGACTTGTTAGTTCTCATGGCAGTCCAGGGTACATTCAAAACTACTCTCCAGCACAACTCAAAAGGCATCAATTCTTCTTTTGTTATTCTTTCAGCTCTCAGATGCATAGCAAGCAACTGAGAAGTCCATGGCTTGGATCAGGTGCACCTTAATCTTTAGACTTTTCTTCAACACTCTGGAGAGGTCCTTGACACCAGATTTTCACTCATTTCTTGTTAAACACTGCAATAGCATCCTTATTCCAAGGACAGTATTGAGATAACAACTGGTAATAACCATGAAAGATTTTCTTTTATGCCAAAGGTTTAGTTGTATAAAAATTCTGAAAAATACATCACCGATATATGCGAAAATGGAAGGGATCTAAAGTAAAATCTGTATTGAAATATGAACTCTACATTATATAATTTAATCTTTAAAAAAGAAGAAAAGGCTGTGTACCACATTTAATAGTTTGCTGGATAAATAATTTCATTTAATTCAGTTATGTTCTTTCCTATGAGTTAAAAAGTAAGTAACAATCATTTATAAGAAAAGTGAAATATAGAGAATTAATTTGCTTAAAATGCCATATTTTATCAGTGTCTCTTTCAAAATTACCTTCTATTTAGTTAGGCAAAGTTTGCCTTTTGGAAAAAATATAAAATACGGGAGAACCAGGGAGGTGAGGTGGGACTTGGAACAATAAGAGTCTTTCCTTACCTTGTCATCTCACATAGTTTGGGCATGTTGTTGGAAGAGGTTAGTCCCTGGAAAAGGACATCATGCTTGGAAGGGTAGGGGTCAGTGAAGGAGGGGAAAATTCTTAAGAAGATGGATTGACATAGTGACTCTAACAGTGAGCTCAAGTAGAGCTGAAATGGTGAGGATGGAGCAGACAGGGGAAGGTCCACTGGGCCACTATGAGTTTTGACTTAACAGCACCTAACAACAACCCCCACCCTAAGAAGCAAAGTAGAAAAAGCTGATTCAAACTCATAATGGCCCTACAAATCATAGTAGAACTGCTGGAAGTTAGCTGGCAAATGGGGGGGGGGGAGGACCAGGGAAGGAGAGTCAATAAAGTGCTTTGCAGTTTCTGTTGGAATCTTGCCAAATAAACTCTTAGCGCACAGTCTGAGCCCACATAATGTAAAGGTTCCAACTGAGCAAATGTTAGTCTTCATCCAATCACAGTCTAGAGCAGCACATGGAAGCCAATGCCTCAGGAAACTGACCTGCAGCAAAGCAGGGCTCAAGACTCAAGTCACTTCATGAATAGAAGACCTGAGTCCACCAACATCATCCCATTGCTCTGAACATTACTGTCCCTCATTTACATCAAACCTAGGAGGCTATATAAGCACCTAATTTTTATAGCTGTGGTCGTTTTCACTCCTTTCCTTTCATTCTTCTCTCTGGAAAGTACTTTAACTCCTCCTTTTCTCTTTCAGCAAGTCATCTTACTGACCTTTATGTTTCTAGGGCCCTGATAAAACTCCACTTGCTGCAACAAAAGCTTAGCATACAATGGGGCTACTTCATACAAGTCAGACATGAGGTATTTTAAGAACCACTGAAATGGCTGTGCACTCTGATGTCTCCGTGGAGCATCCCTTCCTGTTGTATCCCAAAGGGCTCAAGTCATTAATCAGACCAAAGCCATGTGAACAGGTCTGCCCTCATGGTTCTCCAGACTGTAAAGCTTTACAGCAGCTCTTCTGGAAAACCAGGTGAATTCCAACTACCAACTTTTCAGTTAGGATCCGTGCACTTTAATTAATGAGCTTCCAGAACTCCCAAAAAACACGGTTAAGTGAACATTCACCCCTTCTGTCATTTCTAATTTTCCCTTCCAATTTAACGCATTCCTGGACACACCCACTGTTGTCTAAGCCTATTCGATTCAATAGAACAGAACTATGTATAGTTTCCAAGACCGTAAATCTGAATGGAAGGACGTCCAACATCTTTCTCCTGTTTAGTTCCAACTTCAGATTTTTCATTTACGAAAAAGAAATTAATCAAGTTTTGGCCACTGTATTAGAAGCATACAAGTCTAAGGTATATTAGGTAAAATGCGTAGGAGACTTAATCATAAAAAATGGCACATAGTGTTTATGAGCAATGATTTTTTTTTTTTTTAATGTACGCCGTAAATTCCCAGATCACCAGCCAGGCGTACAGATGCGATAAAAGGCAACATAAAACCCTGGAAACACCAGGGTTGTCAGTTTGTAAATTCTGCATCTCCAGGAATGAAAATATTCCTTAAGACTTCGGTAGTAAAGAAATCTACATATTGGATCCTGATGGTCACTTCCAAGAACCAGGAAAAATGTACTTCATAAATGTACTAAAGAATTTAGAACTTGAAAGATAGGAAACCCTCCCCAGGAAAAATCCAAATCCTTAGCACTTAAACGGAACGCGGACATCTCTAACGGTCCTCCGGCTGCGCGCTGCAGACTTCAGTGCGCGCGGGAGGCGGCGACTCTGGACCGGTGGACGCTACCAACTCTCGCACTCCCCCAGTGGCCGGCGCGGCCCAGGGCACCCACCCGTGCGAGTCCCCAACTCACCTTCCCATCGTTGTCAAAGGGAAGACTGAGCTCATCCGTAGTGGACAGAGGTCGAGCACAACCAGTCTCCTCGGCCCCTCCGGCAGCAAGCACCACGTTGGCGACAGCCTCATAGTCCAGGAAGGGATTGGTAAACGCCCGTTCCTCCATTTCTGCTTCTCCGCCCAGGTGCAACCTCAGCCTCTTGGACATGGTCTCGCCCATGTCCGCCCCGCGCGCAGTACACGATCGCGGCTTGAGGGTACGGTGCGCGGCCGGGGACAAACCTGGCGAGGCGTTTTTGCCTAACGCTCTCTCCCGGATCCTGAACTTCCCGCGCCGCACCGCGCCAGAGGGGCCCAGGACTCTTTTAGGAAGTCAGATCCTGCAAAGCGGAGACGCAGAAGGGGTCTGGGAACAGGAAAGACGTGCTTTTTAGTACTGGCCGGACAACAGCTGTCTTCCACATCTGGCTGCAGCCGAGTGCTCTCCACGTGGTGCCTTCGCCCAAGACCAGGAGCCTCTCGGAACCCGGCGCTGTTTCCGCCTGGGCCACCAAACGCCAGGAGCGCGGTCCTGGGCTCCGCAGCCACAGCCAGGAGCAACAGGGATCTGAGGAGAAGTCTGCAGCCAGGTATGCTGAGGCGGCGACTCAGAACTCGCTCAAGCCCAACCTCACCTTCGGGGTGGGACGCGCGTCCCCATCGCCTCTGCTTCCCGCCTGTGGCCCTGCGGGAAGAAGAACTTGCAGTATGCAGAGCTGGTCAGCGGCGATGAGCATGGCAGGGCTGGAGTCCCAGCTGACTGCAAAGGCCGCGGAGCCAGACTTCTCTCCTGCGCCCGAGCTCCTGTAGAAATTTTCTAGAGAAAACCCGTATACCAGGAGTGCGTGTCTGCTAGGAAAACCTGTAAAAGAGAATTTGCCTTCATTCAAGGTGTGTGCGCTTCACAGACCGGAGGCAGCGCATCCCCACACTCTCCATCAAAGTGCATTTTCGCCAGCCAGGCCCGCGACTGCTCTTGTACTAGACGCCAGAATAGAAACCGCTCCTTGTTTGATACTGGGGGCGGATGGCGGGATATCTTCTAAACAAAAGACTCTAAAAATCACCTAAAACCCTGCAAGGTGCATGGCTAGTCTCTCTGGAGAAGGAAGGGAGACCAGACAACCCCTCCTTATTCAACGTTATTGGGAGGGGGATGTCTGGAGGAGGAGCCATAGGCCTTCCTCCCCACCCCTAATTCTTTTTAGATTTTCTTTTCAGCCCCTTTGTTTTGACTAAGTGGAAATCTTTGGTTACAGTCATGTGCAAGGATAATTAGTCATCTTAAATATTTTACTTACCTGACTGATTACACGTTCTCCAGGAACATGTGCTTTAAAAGAGCACAAGCAAATAAACCGGTATTTACATAATCACAGTGTGATCAACTATTTCTGTTCTTTATTTCGTTTGTTCTTTCTTAGCTTTTTTGGAACGAAATAGTTGTACTCATTTCTCCTCCTTGAGGAACGTGACTTATTTCAGTATTCCATTTAACAAACACTGATTGAACACCAAATGGTCCTGTTGTTGTTGTTATGTGCCATCCAGTTGCTTGCGACTCATAGCAGCCCTAAATACAAGAGCTGTAAACGCCCGTTCTATCCTGTGCCAACCTAGCCATCTCAAACGCACTCATTCCCACCACTCCAGTCACAGAATCGATCCATCTCATAGGTCTTCCTCTCCTTCACCGCCCATCCACTCTCCCAAACATGATGTCCCTCTCCAAGGACCAGTCCCTCCTTGCAACATGCCCAAAGTATGTCAGACAAAGTTCAGATTCCTTGACTCCAAGGAGCATTGAGGCTTCATCTTCTCCAGGCCAAACCTGTTTGTTCTCCTAGCAGTCCATGATATATTCAACACTCTTCTCCAGCACCACAGCTCAAAGGCATCAATTCTCTTTCTATCACCCTATTCACTGTCCAACTCTGTGATGCATCGCACATAATTGCGAAGACTGGAGCCTGGATCAGGCGCACCTTAGTCTCCAGCCTGATGTCATTGCTCTTCAGTACTCTTGAGAGGCCTCTGAGAGCTGACTTTCCTAATGCATTTCATCTCTTGATTTCCTGGCTGCTGTTACCAAGAGTGTTGACTGTGGAGCCAAGTAAACTAAAACTGTTAACTATATCAATCTCTTCATCATCCACCCTGATGCTGCCAATTGGCCCAGTGGTGAGAATCTTCGCTGTCGTGATGTTGAACTTCAATCCATATAGGAGGTGGCAGTCCTTGACTTTCTGTAGCAAGGTCCTCCTCAGTTTCAGTAAGCAGAGTTGTGTCATCTGCATAACGCAGGTTGTTGGTGACTCTTCCACCAATCCTGACGCCACATTCCTCCTCCGCGTCTCAGATGATCTGTTCTGCATACAGATTGAAAAGGTATGGAGACAGAATACATCCCTGATGAACCTCCTTCTTGATTTTGAACCATGTAGTGTCTCCTTGCTCTGTTCTGA